GGAAAACTTCTGGTGTTGGATTGAAGCCACCCTGCCCAGCTGAAGTGCRCTCAGATGGGATCATGTTCTGCTCTCATTCGTGCCTGTTCCAAAAGTCCTGCTCCATTTTACCTAAGCATCCTTGAGAGCTTTTTATTTGTTTAGATGAGGAATAACTTGACAATGGGAGAAAATGACAGTGTTTGTATTGTTTGCATCTTCATATAAACACTGTGGTTTCTCCTCACAGTCTGAGTTACGCTTCTTTTCAATCTGCCTAGTAGGATCTGCAGAGATGATTTTGCCAGTCTGGGTAATTGGTCAGGAAGAATTTTCTCTCACATTTAAATACTTTTTTTTTTTTTTTTTTACTATAAGCACTCAAAAGCTAGGGCTACTTGTAAAGTCTGCCAGATGATGCCAGAAAGAAAAGAATTTTCTTTAAAAGAAATGAAACTGAGACAGCGACTTTGTTTGGTCTTTTATCTGTCTCGTTGGCCTAAGAATCATAAATTGAAGTAGCCTGGGAAGATGATCCCAGCTGTAGGAAGCAGCCACACAGCACAGTCCTTTTCTGAGCCAGATGCCTGTACCTACATGGGAGAGCTCTGACTAATCCAGGCCGGCTGGAATGAATCCCATTCAAGGAATTTTCCCCTTAGAGCTAAAGGATGGATGAGAAGATCTGACAAGGGCCAGCCCAGCTCTTCTGACTGCTTTCTCTCTCTGTTCTCAAGGTGGATTACGATGTTTGTAGCAATTATGGCAACTGGTTGTACAACGCTGGCATTGGCAACGACCCACGGGACAACAGGAAGTTCAACATGATCAAACAAGGCCTGGATTAYGATGGGAATGTGAGTCTTGTTTGGCTGTTTCACAAGGATGAGTGCAGTGAAGGATATGTGGTGTTTTCAGGGAGCAGAGGAGATCAATTTGCAGTTTTTGTGTCTCCTAGCCAGCAGTCAGGCAGGATCCTCGTTGTGTGCAGGAAGATGTGACTTTAACAACCTTCTGCCGTCCCCAGGGAGTGGAGCTCCCCACACCCTCCCTGGTTGGTGTGTTTAGTGTTTCATCCCCATTTCCTCCGAGTCACAGCCACATCCCATCAGGACCTCACACAAATGCTTCCCTGAGCACAGAGCAGCTTCTTGGAGAGCTCAGGAGTTACCAGAGAGATAGAACCACTGCTTGAGAGGTGCTGAAGTGTAGATTAAATCTATGACTCCTCTGACAATCCTCTTAAATGGTGGGAGCAGAAAAATTGTCTTTCCATGTGCTTAGCCAGTGTTTACACATTGGATTACCTGTTCCCACACTATTCCTTAGCTTCATGTCAGGCTGTGCTGTTTTCTTTTGGCTCTGTAGCTGGCAGGATTTTACAAGAAATCAGAAATTGGTCCTAGTAGGGGACACAGCAGTAGAGTTAATAGGAGACATTCACAAACGAAAGTGTCCAGCTGAGCTAGTCATCCTAATTTCCTTCAGTCACAGGAAACTTTCTGGGGATGACTTCATTTCAGGATGTCCTAAACAGGGCAGGTGAGCAGTGCCAAAAATGCACCTCTGCCAACAGAGTGAGCCTGTGAGGAGATGTCCAACATCCAGGGCTACCTTTAAGTACTCATTCTAGGTAGAGGATTTAGCAGGAGGGGCTAAGACTTGTTGCTGTACAACACCAGCTTCTCCACCTGGAAATCCAGATCTTCTCTTTCCATTGAGAAAGACCCTTGTTGGGAAGCGTTTACACATTGTCACTGAATGGATCCTGTCCYACTGGTTGTGTTTGCAGGGGGATTACATCCGGCTGTGGGTGCCAGAACTGCAGGGCCTGAAGGGAGCAGACATCCACACCCCCTGGGCACTGAGCAGTGCTGCTCTCTCCCAAGCAGGAGTAACCCTAGGCAAGACCTACCCACAGCCAGTTGTGACAGCTCCAGAGTGGAGCCGACACATCCAGCAGAGGCTTGTGAGTACTGGGAAGGCTGGGATGGGGTGGGAGGGCTCCAGGGGGCTGCTCTGCATCTGTAGTTCTGCTCTCCTTTCTCAGATGTAAAAGGAAAAAAGTTTTAACACAAACTGAYATGATCTCACAGCAGGGACTGTGCAGCCAGGGCTGTTTAGCTCTGCCTGTCCTACTCGCAGTGCTGAAGGATGTGCATTTTTGCTGTTTCTCTGTCCCATCAGCCTTGTGCAGTCAGCAGGGCATGTCCTGACCATCCTTCCCTGCTCTGTCAGCTCACAGGCCAGCATGGAGGGATGGGGCATCTCCAAGGCCTCCACTGGCCTGAGCACCACCCCTTGCAGATGGACAGAAGGGAGCCATCCCCCTGTCCTCTCTGTTCAGGAGGTGGAAGTAAAACCAACCAACTTCCTGCTTGAGTGCATCCAAATTGGAGTCAGCAAGACCTGGAAATATGGGGACTGCTCCTTACACTTTGCATTTTGAGTGCAGCTCCCCTTTAGAACAGGGACAGAATGAGATGCTGATCCTGCAATAGGTCAAGGCTTTTGTCTGCTGCCTGGGCTGCTGCTTTTGGAGGAGATGGTAATGGAAGGAAATGGATGTAAGCAGTGGTTAAGCAGTGGTTGTGTATTCTAAGGAGTTTTCAGCATTTTGCCTTTCCCCCATGCATCCTCCCTGCCTCCTCCTGAGTGAGAATACTCTGTGGAAGCTCAAGTTTTGGTGTTGTACCAAGTCAGTGAATAACGAAGCATGTCCGCATTTCAGGTTTTAATCCCAAGGTGCGGTAACAATTTTTTAGGCAGGATTCCTTTGCCATGAGTGGGAAGTTTTGTGAAAGCAAAGCCTTCTGCTTCATCCRTGCTGTTGGAGGGCCTGGATTACCAACCTCCTGGGATCAGAGAAAGGACTCTGTGTTGGAGCTCCTTGGTGAGACACTGGTTTGAGGCAGTGATGAAACTTGAAGCCAAAAAGCTTCTCCATCATCAGAAGTCCAATTTCGGTCAACTTTCCCAGCTCACCTTACCRGAAACCTTGGTTTCCTAAATCCCAGCGTAGAGCAATGCCTGTGAGGCCTTCCTGTTTTTTTTAGTGAACTTGTGAGGCAGAAGTTCCACGTGCACATTCTCCTGCATGTCAGTGCTGCTTTGTGACCAGATTCACTCTGCAGTATCCATWAACACCTCGCTGTTCCTCTGTCATTTGCCACAGGGAGGAAGTCCCCATCTCAGGGGCAGGAGGGGACCTGCACAGGCACCACCACAGCACAAGGACAGAGGGATAGATTTTTACTTCTCTCGCAAGAAAGATGCTTGCTGAAGGCTGGAGGAGCACTCATTAGGAGGTTTTGCTGCTGAGGGTGCCTGGATAATGGGTAATCACCTTGAACAAACCAAAGATACAGATCTGGCGTGGTAAAGTAACTTGGGATCTGCCTGTCTGGTGTTCCCAGGGACACTTGCTGGATGTGGGTAATTGGAGGTCATGTATTAGCACCTCTCCTAACAATCCAGAACCAATGGTTTATGTGGCAGATTTTCAGTCAGAACTGAAACTTCTTATGCTAATTTTTCATGTTTTAAAGTTTTTCATGTTTTAAAGTTTCAAACCCACCAATCGTTGTGCAATTAAAAGTTTTGCTACTTGAATATTTTGTCTTCCTCGTTTCCACAGAGATCCATAGATAGAGACTGCAGAGGATGTTCTTTTACTGTGTCTCCTGCGGTAATTTGGAGAAACAGTCTGTTCTTTCTGAAAACTTCCTTGGAGTCCTTGCAGTATCCTGTTGTTTTTTGTACCAGCCGAGAAGTGTTGGAAGCTTAGAAGTGTTCAGTTCATAGCCAAGAATTGTGTTTAGTACTTGGCATCAAAACCAGTTTGAAATGGATCCCTAACCATTTTTAGCATTTTATTCTTATGCAGAACGTTGTACTTGCTGGAAGAATCTGGGAATTTGGAGATGGCCATATTTGTGCTGTCRTGGAGCACTGTTATCTGAGGGGCAGTCTGGGTCTAAACACTGACCACCAAAGATGGGACATGGCTCTGGATTTATGACTAGAGATCCACTGGGCCTGTTTTGTGAAGAGTAACTGTAACACTCTAAAATCTGAACACTCTGGGTTGATGGGTTCAGGTTTGGATGAGAAATGAACTGACATTGAACATGTGCAAGCTGTTCTGCCAGAAGCAGACAAACAAAGTGATTTTGAACACACACCCTGTGAAGGCCACATTAATAAGTCCAGATTGTTGTATTAGGGGGCTGGGCAGGGATGTAGCCATCAAGGGGTAATTTGGGGGTAAAAAGAGTGAAGCAGCTTTAGTGCCAGCACTGTTTTCTCTGGTATAAGTGTCTGCTGACACACASCACTGATCCCTGTCTGGGCCACTCCAGAGGGCAGGGAGGTACATTTGGACAAAGCCCAGCAGGAGAATCACTGAATCAATTAGGTTGGAAAAGTCCTCTGAGRTCATCAAGTGCAATCTGTGACCCAACACCTCCGTGTCAGCTGAGTGCCACATCCCCTTTCCTTAAACATTTCCAGGGATGGTGACTCCACTGCCTCTCTGGCGAAGCCCATTCCAATRTAATCTCCCTTTCTGTGAAGAAATTCTTCCTAATGTCCAACCTGAACTTCCCCTGGCACAGCTTAAGACTCTGTCATCTTGTCCTATCATTTATTGCCTGGGAGAAGAAGCTGACCTACACCTGGCTACAGCCAGGAGGGAGGGAGCTTTAGGGAATAATAATGTCTCYCCTGGGCCTCCTTCTCTTCAGATWAAACACTCCCAGCTCCGTCCGCCGCTGCTCATAGGACTGGTGCTCCAGACTCTTCCCAGCTCCGTTCCCTTCTCTGAACCCGCTCCAGCCCCTCAGTGTCCTTCCTGACCTGAGCCCATACCCGRACACCGCACTCGAGGTGCCGAGCACAGGGGAAGCATCACTCCCCTGGCCCTGCTGGCCGCACTATCCGGACCCGAACCCYGTCCGGCCCCGCACGCAGAGGGAGGGCGGGCACAGAGCCCTGCGGGGGCGGCGGAGAGGCGGGGCGAGCCGGGAAGCGAAAGTGCCGGGAAAGGGAAGTTCGGAGCGCGGCACGGCCATGGCCGCGGCTCCATCGGATCCTGTTCCCRGCTCCGGCTCCAGCCCCGTCCCGCCGCTGGATCTGCACGCCGTGCCCATGGTAGCGCTGAACTACGGGGTCCGCCGCCGCCTCGGGCTCTACCTCAACCCGCGGGCGGCCGCGGCCGCGGACTGGACGGCGCTGGCCGAGGCGCTGGGATGCAGCTTCCTGGAGATCCGGCGGCTGGAGGGACTGCCCGACCCCACGGCCACGCTGCTGGAGGAATGGCCGGGACGCTGCCCCGGCGGGGCCACTGTGGGGCAGCTCCTCGATGTGCTGCGCCGCTTGGGTCGCGACGATGTYCTGACGGACCTGGCCGGCAGCGTGGGTGAGGCGCTGCGGACGGGGAGAGCTGGGGTAGCCCGGGGAATCCCGGCACTGCTACGGGAGCCTGCCCTCGGTGCTGCTTCCTTGATACCTGGAGAGGGAGGGGATGCTGTTTGTGCCGCTCCTTTTGTTCGTGCCGCTCTTTCTGCTGATGTTTGTCCTTCTGTTCGTGCCGCTCTTTCTGTTCATGTTGGTCTTTGCTGCTCTGTTCGCGGAGGTGATGTTAAGAAAAACTCTCGCTTAAGGAGAAAAGCCTTTTCCAGAGTGGAGTGACCTCCTTCGCGTTCTCGGGAGGGCCACAAAGATGCTCCGAGGGTTGGAGCATCTCTGTTGTGGAGAGAGACTGGGAGAGCTGGGGGTGTTCATCATGAAAAAGAGAAGGCTCCGGGGATACCTTAGAGCCCCTTCCAGTGCCTAAAGGGAGAGGGASGGGGACTTGTTGCATGGGCAGATAGCGATTGGATAAGGGGGAATGTTTTAAACTAAAAGATGAGAGATTTAGATCAGATATTAGAAWACTACATAGATTAGGTATTARGAAGAAATTCTTCCTTRTGAGGATGGTGAGGTCCTGGCACAGGTTGTCCAGAGAAGCTGTGGCTTCCCYATCCCTACAAGTGTCCAAGACCAGGTTGGATGCGACTTTCAGCAAGGTGGAATAGTGGAAGGTGTCCTCAGCCACAGCAGGGTCTTGGAATGAGATGAATCTATAAGGTGCCTTCCAACCCCTGAGACTCCTGTGAATCTCACCTTGCTTCCAGGAGAGCAAAATGCTGTGTTTCTGCTAACCATGTGCCCTGCAAAGCAACCTGGAGCTCCATCTTATCCCAAACCTTCAATAAGAAAGTTTCTGTGTGTCAAAGGATGCTGTGGGCCAGGTCAGCCAGGAGATAGTTTGCACTGACACCAGACTGTGAAAATTACARTATGTGGATATAGTGTGACACAAAGGTATTTTCTGGGAGACATGAAGGATGTGTGGGACTGGATAATGTTAAGGTAAAAAGTTCCCACAAAAATTGAAAAAAATGAGACAAGTCTGTGAGAAAAATGAAGGTACTTGTGCTGTTCTGATATTCTGCGCTGTAACTTTATATCCTTTGTTGTCAGAGAAATTCAGAGGGAACCCAGCTGTCATCAGAATGGGTTTTTTTTTGCCAAAGGATTTCTAAAGCCGGAGAATTCCCTGAAGACCTGTGTGTTGTATATCAGACCTTACGGAGTTAGCAATGAGGAAGTAATAAATCTCACTTCCTGTTACTCACAGAGATAAAGGAAGATGTAGAAATCCTCCTCTGTAGAGAGCCTGAACAAAAAGCAATGGAGGACTTCCCTTTGCTCCTGTGGTTCTTCCTACTTAAGAACACAACCTGAAGACCAGGTTTTGGAAACGACAAAAGCATCAGTGTGCTTTGTGATCTGCTGACCAGAAGTTCCTAACAAATTAGGGGAAGCTTCCAGCTGTKCAAAAGATCTGGGGCTTCACAAAATCACTGGGATCCCCTAGGCTGGTTCTGGCCCTGAGCTCAGGGCCTTTCGCACTAGAAGGGAATGTGGTGGATGGACTTTCTCAGACCTGGAATGGACTCCAGCAGAAGGAGTAGGAGTAGCCTGGGCTGCCAGAAAATCACAAGTTTTTGCGACCTAGCCCAGAGCTGATAAGAAGAGACAGGTAAATTCTTGGAAGGGAGGCCTGCTAAGGGCTGTTCGACAAAAATATTGTCTGTGGCTCATGAAATTCCTTTAACTCATGAAATTCCTTTAACCATTAAATTCCTTTAACTTATAAAAACAGATTGCAGATTATACCTAAAAGACAGGTTTCTGGGAAATATATATTTATTAGGGAAATATCTCTGTAAGAGATACTATTTTATTCTTATGTTCCCCCCTGGGCACCTGGTTTTGTGCAGTGCTTGARACAGGATGATGCTTGAGCAGAGGGACCTTCAGCCTGACCAGCGTGGCTGTTCCTCTCTTACTGTTTTTGGCTGAGGACTACACTGAGGGCCTGTGACCTGTTGCTGGTGCTCAGAGCTCTTGCA